AGCCATAAAAAGATTTCTTGATTTGGGGCTTATCATGTGATACGAACTCTTTCCCTGTAGTTCATATGCCGTAGCTCATGTCTTAGTACGATATGAAATCCAGCCAATAATGGCTTCTTGAACAAATCACGGTTAAAACATGCGTAATGTGTGAACCCATTTATGGAGTGACAGGCTGGGTTAACATTTTCAGCAAAGACACAGTGTGGGTTACTTGTTTGTAGCTTAGCCTGTTATACAAATTCAGGTTTCTGAAGCGTTAGGATTTCTAGAAAACCAACCAACTGAATAAAACCTCGGTTAAGCAAATGGTGACTGTGCACTGTATACACAATTTATTTTGAAAACCACAACTGAACAAAGATCAGAGTCTGTGCCCATCAAAATTAATATCTGATCACCTCAAGCTAGCTTTGTGGCAACAGATGGATTAGGAATGGAGGGTTTAGCATTGCTCCTAATGGTAAGCAACCAGAAATCAGAAAATTTTCCTCACCTGCTGTAGGAAATTTTAAAAATCTACAGGTAGATTCTGATCTATCTCCTGTTTCTGCTCTGAGACACATTGCACTGGCAAAATAATTTATTTCCCTCATAAATCAAGTACCTACTTGGTCTTTATGCCAAAGCTTTTTCTTGTACTTAATCCTAAAATAATCCGTGCCTGAGGGGACTTGGAGGAAGTGGAGAAAGGGGAAATACTTTGTTTTCCTTCTAGGCGAACATCTGTAAACCAGGGCAAATTTTCTTTTGATCCTGCTAAAATGCAGCCAATGCAGCTCAGAAGAGTCCATCATGTCTTGGCTGTTCAGAAAAGAGGGGTGGGAGAGGGCCCCAATGGCTAAATATGGAGAAAACATCACACGCACATGTACTCAAATACAAAAGCAGCGGACACACAGGAGGTCCCTCGGTTCAAGGCTTTGAAACGTTAGCTGCATGGAGAAGGTTAGCTTTTCACTCCCACCCCTAAAGGGCTAAGCAACCATGGCTTAAAGATTTGAGCGGGTTTTCTCCTTACGTAAAAACCCATTTTGACTGGAGCAGAGAGCGACCGGAGAGAGGGTCTCTGTGCATGTGGAGGGGGCCCCAACGGGAAGCTGTAAGGGGAGTGAAGGTTCCAGCAGCTTTGCCAACCCTAGGGAAGAAAAATCCAGCGTCCACTTTAGGAGCGAGGGATAAGCTTCCAATAAATCTCCGTAGCTCTCTCTCCGCCTCGATCTTTAAAGAAAGGTAGGGAGGGGGCAGGCAGGCCCTCGAAATCCATCCGGGAACCGGTCTAGAAGCCCCAAGCCCCGCACAACGGCTGCTGGCCAGGGCGTCCCCCAGTTCAGGAACGCGCCTTCGCTTTCGCGCAGAGGACACCAGCAGCCACCCAGAGAGAGCGCACGGGCTGAACCGGCCGCCTGGCCAGCCCACGCTGCGCCACCTCCCGTAGAGCATCTCCTGCGCTGGAGGGACAAGCCCCCCACCCACCCCTGCATGTCGCCCCCAAACCGCCCCTCCTGGCCCCGCTAAAGACCCAGAAAGCCACGGACCGCTCCTCGGCTCCGGAGACCTGCCCGTTTCTTCCACCTCTCTCCAAGATGCCGCATTGGAGAGCCCGCTGGCTCTGCCGCCTCCCGCCAAGGCCCCGAGCTTTGCGGGAGCAGCTGGGCACACCTCGACCCCGTCCCTTCCCGAGCCGCCGAGACAATAAGCCACAGCGTCCCCCACCTTCCGCCACCAAATCGCGGCTCACTTCTCTCCGCCGCCTCCACCTCCTGCCACAAGCGCCCGGCGTCTCCTTCGGCTCAAGACGCGCCCGGTGCGCGCATCGCCGTCTCCCCTCTGCTGCTCCTCCGCCAGCATCACAGGTGGCGCCGGGAAGAGCCCGGGCGTGCCAGCAGGATGCTGCTGCTGCCGCCGCCTTTCGATGGAGGAGCCCCGCCAGCCCTGGCTGCGGAACGGACTGCCTAGCCCGGCTCGGTTTGACAAGAAGCCCCCGCCTCCGAGCCACGAGGCCGGATCAGCTATTGGGCGCGTCCCCCGCCATTCACGCGGAGCCGCTGGGGGAGCCAGGCCGGGCTCACACGTGGCCAAAGCGCTTCTGGGGAGACGGAGGGTCCTGATCGCGTTCAGCGAGATTTTGGGGGGGTTTTCCGGGCGCTTTAGCCCAACCCAAGCCGCTTGCACTGAAAGCCAGATTAATGCCAAACATCGGGCTTTCGTTCACTTCACAAACCTTGCTTTAATAATCGGATCTTCCCATTTTGAGTGGGGAGGGGGGGGTGACTTTAGCTAAGGTGTGTGAACCCTGCCAATTGTGGTTCATCCAATGAATAAACCACATTTAAGCCAAACCATTACTTTGCACAGTGCCGTTGTGTTTGGCCAATGGGTAGTAAGAGACCCAGCCAGCACGGTTCGATGTTTTTTTTATGTGCATCCAAGTAATTGAGATGATTCAGTAAATCTGGTTGTTATGGGGGGGGGGGGGGAGGAAGAGAAGGTATTACGCAAACCTAGCCAGAGGGGGCTCCGGGATAAATAAACTGGGTGCAAAAGATGCTGAGCTTTAATCTGTAGTGGTAAAATTCGTATCTGAGGTCTTCCGTCAGCATTGTAGGATAGTAGGCATTGTAGGCTGTACAATCCATGGCTGTAAAACCCTGATGTGGTTTATATTGGTTTGGAGTGGGGTACAAAACCCAGTTAATTATCTTTTTTTGATTTGTTTAATGAAGCCAACGGTTGATACGGTATCATAAACCCAGCAACTGAATGTAGATGAATTGGCATTCTTCAGTATTCCTACAGCAAGTTCCTAAAGGAAACAAGCCTGAGTCAAGTGAGTCGAAAGAAGGGCCCTTTTGATGGCTTAATTTCAGCGTCTTCTAGTTCTGTGGAAAATCACATGCATCTGCCACGTCTACAGGTTTAAATCTCTTATTAAAAATTACATATTTATTTCTACAGCATACCGCCAACCCTGCCAAAATGCAAGTGTCACAATCCAAAATAAGGCCCTTTCTTTGTAACCAAGGGGAAACAAGATTATATTGGGGCTCACAACGATTAAAGTAGAGGGCTGGTTTAGCAACTGGAGAAAACGGCACTTTAACAAGTACAATAACAATTTGTTATTGTACTTGTTACAATTTGTTACAATAACAAGTACAATAGCAACAATAACAATGTCATTTCCTGCGTAAAGAAAATGCTATAACAGATCAGACAGGGATTCCCAATAGTGGGGGCTAAGGACAAGGGATGCATTTCATCTTACCTTATTATCCTGTCTATGAGCATCCTTGGAGCCTCTAGTATAATTGAAAAGCAGAGTTCTGAAATATGTGATTGGTGTATTTGATCAAGGAGAACAAGTCTGGTTTTGCTGGTATCCCATTCATCAAAGATGTAGATTCTGTACAGATATTAAATTTTAAAGTTGCTCCAGTTTGGACAGAATCTTTAAAAGTTACAATGCCTGGTTGTATCCCATTTTTACAATAACCTCTCTCTCTATTTCTCATCTATCTCTCTCTCTATCCATCCATCCATCCGTCTATCGGTATCTATCTTATCTATCTATCTATCTATCTATCTATCTATCTATCTATCTATCTATCGGTATCCATCCATCCATCCATCCATCCATTCGTCTATCTACCTCTATCTATCTATCTATCTATCTATCTATTTTATATCTATCTATCTATCTATCTATCTATCTATCTATCTATCTATTGATATCTATCCATCCATCATCTATCTATCTATCTATCGGTATCTATCTATCTTTATCTATCTATCTATCTATCTATCTATCTATCTATCAGTATCTATTTGTCTGTCTTTCTATCAGGAGGGGAAGGTGCTTCTCTTCCTCCCAAGCTGACCTTTGCTATAAAGGATTTTGAATTCAATTTTCATCCTTTGCCTATATAATGATAGTCCTATCTACCTCTCTATATTTCTGCATTGCATATGTGCCTATAAATTTGCTACCTTCAAAACACTAATGCAGTTCCTGTTAAGTGCAAGTCAGATGTTTGTACTATAACCTGTTAGATTCTAGGGCTATTTCCTTCAAGGAAAACCAACTATAGTTAAAGAATGGTGGTGAAAGCATCCAATATAAACAAAATTGCGCATGAACATTTGAGCTAGAAGGTTGGGACAAGGGATGAGCCTTTGCAGAAAGCACCGTTATATGAATTTAACACCCCTCCCATCCCAAAACATCCAGCCCTCTCTGCTTTAAAACCCTACAGTAAGAACTACACCCACACCCCATCTCCAGACTTCAAAGAACACTTGGCATTCCATTTGCCTGTCATTTTCACAGTCTTGGCAGCTTCAAAGGTTTCTCTCCAAACCAGAAAATCTGTTGTTTCATCCATAATGCTGAAGACCACAAAAGATTGGGCAAGAACAAGGAGTAGGAATAACTCAACAAACAGCTGGTGAGAAGAAGAAACTACTTCGCTGGGTCAAATTTTCTGCTAATCAGTTTGAGTGTTGTGTTATTTCTTCTTTTGTTTCTTCCCTGTTCCATGTTCTAGAATTTATACTTTTAGCACAGAGATATTCTGACTTATAAAAGAGGAAAAGCCTCTTTTGTAGCCTGGGAAAGTAGACAGATAATAATCAGAACACTTTCACAAATGGACAATCTCTGTATCTCGATTGCAGCAGAGAAAGAGAAACCCACATTAATTATTGAAATACATGATGCAGCTGAGCCATAAGAGCTGCAGAACAGGCCGCTGATGTTACCAGTAGTATATTATTGCTTCTCTCAATCTTCCTACCTCCGTCCTCCGGTGTTCATAGAGCTTCTCCAGAAACAAATACTATTTTCTTCTCCAAAAAGCTGCTGCAGATATCTGAGCTTGCCTAGTTTCCACTGAAAAAAAAAGACAGTTTTGCTTTCCTTCAAAGATCATCTTTAATGAGCTAATAGTCTTTGCTGGGTTTGGGGATTATTGTTAAGGAGAAGACGCAGAATGCTTCCAGGGAGCAAGTAGGAAACTTTTCGTTATATGTTTGCTTAAAAGACAACTGCCCAGGATGTTCATGAACATATTGGGAAAGAAAAGATTTAGGAGAACATATTTCCTTCCACCTTTAGTTTTTTCCCTTACTACCTTTTCACAAATTATAAGAAAAGGGGGGAAAAGAACAGCAGATGTGTTGTTTCAGCAGATGTTTAGGTGCTTTCCAGTTCACTAGCAGCATGGAAGAGTCAAGAGTCCTGGAAGTGCCATAGGTCTAAAGCACACACTAATGTCAGTAGCAACCTTCTTGTTGAGAGCGAAGGTGATACTTCCTTTAGAGTAGAGAAGCCCGCGTAGTACTTAGACATAGCCATATCCCATCTGGACCAGCCAACTGCCTTTAATATTTGGTGGTGAAGGACTGGAACTCCAGAACGGTGATCTGCCTCTCATTTGAGAACACGGCCTGATCAATGCGAGACATGGGGCTTCCGACGCTGCGTAGCCAGTTCTTCCTGGGCGGGGGAGAAGGAGAAGCAAACATTAACAGCGCAGTTCCTTCTTCTCCTGTTTTACCTTGCACATAGCCAGAATAGGAATATGTCTATTCATAGACCCAAAAAGCCATCAGGTGCAATGTGCACATTTGTTGGAAGGCAAGGCCCATATTTATTAGACGTTTTATTACAGATTCACCATGAATCATTGAAAGGAAGTAAGCATACTGCCAAAAGTTACCAGCAGAACAAATGGCTCCAATTAAGTTGAAGACATAAATAATGTTGCAGAAGGAAAAAAGTGGGGAGATGATTTAAATATGCTTTCATTTGTGAAGATTTAAATAACTCTAATGGGATAAATTCCTACACAATTGGAAAAACAAGAGATCTCATAGCCTTTTACAGATTGTTTTAACATTGGCCCCCAAATATAAGTTCAAATGTGTACATTACCTCATCTTTAGGGAGAATTAAGGGATTACGCTTATCTATATTAAAAACGTTTTTCTGATATTTTTGGATGATTTTGGAACACACAGTGGTAGAACAGATGCCTAACATTTACAGGTAGTTCTCAATTTATAACCACAATTGGGACTGGAATTCCATCAGTAAATGATGCAGGTAAGAGAGTTGTGCCCAGTTTTATGGCCTTTTTTGCTGAAGTCATTAAGTGAATCCAGCTTCCCCCATTAACTTTGCTTGTCAGATGACAGCTGGGAAAGTTGCAAATGGGGATTGCATGACCCCAGGAGACCTTCATAAATACATGACAGCATCAGTTGTCAAATGCACAACCTTTGATCATGTGACTGCAGGGACACTGCGATGCTTAGAAGTAGAAAGACTACTCCAGGGGACTACCTATACTTATCATTTTATAACCTGAACCAAAAAAAAGAACGTAAGTGTTAGAATAAAACTCAAATTCAAACCTATATTGTGAGCCACCCAGATTTTTTAAGATGGGCGCTCACACAAGTCTTTTAAATTAATTAAATAAATAAATTGGAGCCATGAAATCAACTGAATGTCATTGAGTAACTTGCTCCTTTGTTACCTGATTACTTTGTCTCTGTAATCTCATTTTGAGAACAAAAGAAAACATATGCTACATTTAGCACTAAATGTAATCATTGAAATAGGAAAAAAAAACAGGCTTATTCAATTTAAAATAACTTCTCCAAGAGTTCTGAATTTGTTTGTGGCAGCAAAACCAATATCTTGTAACATTTTACAGACTAAGCAAATACTGTCATGGACTAATAAACTAATTGTCTTATAAAGTAGATGTATTCCACACAAAAAACTTCAGCCCTCTGACTAAGATCAAGTGTGATATCTTATCATAAAACCCTTTCATCACTGTAACATTGCTAGTTTTTAGATTGTTTTCTGGGCTGACAGTTGCTTTTTCGCTTTATTCATACAACATGCCAGACCAGGATAAAATTGAATTGCATAATTTAATATTGTAGGAACCCAGCTATTGGCTTGCATGAATGAGGTCATCACACTAAGCTAGAATGTGATTTATTTGTTGGGTGTGCATAGCAATTATGCTTTTAACATTTTAAGATTTTATGCATAACATGCAAACCCCACCTTTCCTTGCATGCTGGGTTCTGTACATTAAAGGGGCAAAACACAATCTAAATGTGTTTTAATTTACATTTAATTAAAATCAAATTAAATACAGTCACCATGACCGCTCCCCATGTATTTTACAATAATTTACATTTGCAATTTGGCAGCAACAGAGGGAAAGGCAAGCACAGTGATCAGCTGGAAGGCCATGCCCAATACCTGGGTGTATGTGAGCTGCAACCATCAAAAGTGAAATGGATATAACTCTTTGATTTTTAAACAAAAAAATATAAAAGCACCCTATTGATATCAGCAGTCCACGCCTGTGATCTAAAGAAAAGTTCTAAAGATTATGTTATATAAAGAACCTATGAATGAGTTTTCCCACGTAACATAAGAAAACAACTTTCTGCACACTGCCCACACACAATACATTTGCCCAGCTGGTATTCCATTTCAAAAATTGAAATGCTGCCTATTTATTCCCACCCAATACTTAATTGCAAAAGAACATTGAGAGTCACATGGGTGGTTTTACACCTTTGCTTTTTTATCCTGCACTGACTTGGGAGGAGAAAAGGGTAGGGGGGAAGAAGAATGTGCATTGAGGAATAGCGTTGCTATGGATTATCTCCTTCCTATTTATCCCTGGTTCCTCAAAGCCAGGGATGGAGTAGTGTGGTTGCTATGGAAATGGCCCCAATTTCCCCCTCCCCCCTGAGACATGAAGGTAGACAATATGTAGAGGCAGGTTGCTATGGCAACTGTCCCAGATATTTTTTCCCCGTTCATGCTCTCTCTTTCTTCAAGGTGATAGAAGATCTGGTTGCTATAGTAATTGCCTCTGGCTGTCATCTTTCTAAAGGTGACAAAGCACTGTTGCAGAAGTTGTTACACCAACACAACACAAAGCCTGCGGGTCACCCTAAGCTCAGACCCTGCTTTCGCTCACTTGCTCTTGCTTTCCTTCCACACACCCCCACACAGAATCACCTCTACTGTGGCTCAAAAATTCATAAAGCAATTTTCTTCATCTCCTTCTGGACCAGTTCTCTAATTGCATGCTGACCCAAGTCCTAGATTTAAGGGTGTCAATTCCCTCTGGAGGCAGAGTCTGGAGAGGTACCCTACATACGCATTCTCAATGGAGGCTGGGTGGAAGGGAAAGAATCCTTATAAATTGCTGATAGGGAGTTATCTTCAGATCACAATTGTGATAATAGGTTCTCATTTCTACTACAGGTAGTCCTCGACTTATGACCACAATTGGGATCAGAATTTCTGTTGTTAAGGGGGGTTGTTAAGTGAGCAGCACCCGATTTTGCATCCTTTTCTGCCACAGTTATTAAGTGAAGCACTGCAGTTGTTAAATGAATTGTCAAGCACAGGAAATGCAGAGTCCCGCAGTTCGGATGAATATACAGGTTAATTTTATGCGAAAGGTCTCTATCAGAATCTGGACTACTAACGGTCAAAGCAGGTTGGCAATAGGTAAGTGTCAATGGAATTCAAGGTAGGCCTGAAGGGACTCAAGACTGATGACGTATTTGACCCCTCTCTTGGGCTCAACATGGATATCTCCTACATGAATCATGTGGTCATTAAGTAAATCCAACTTCCACCATTAATTTTGGGCGTCAGAAACTGGCTGAGAAAGTTGCAGATGGCAAGCACAAGACCCCCAGGACACCGCAACTGTTGCAAATACATGCAAGTTGCCAAGCGCTCAAATTTTGATCAAGTGATTGTAGGGATGTTGCAACAGTCATAAGTCAGAGGACTAATCTTAAGTCAATTTTTCGGTGCCTTTCTAATTTTGAAAAATTGCTACAGTTGTAAATTGAAGAATACCTGTGGTTTCTTTTCCTCCACAAGAGAACCAGAAGGCCATTCAGAAAAAGCAAGGGGCCTGGTCCCCCTCACAGGTTTCAAGCCACATGTGACAATCCGTAAGAAATACACCTCTTGTTAAAGGATATATACAAAAGTAATCATGAGACACAAGTCTAAGATACAAAGTTGATTGATGCTGATGAACCTAATCAGAATGGGGCTTTTGAATTTTCTCTTTCAGGACCAAGAACAAGAATGGTTGGAAATACTGTGTTTCCCCAAAAATAAGGCCCTGTCTTATATTTTTTTGAACCCTGACATAAGCACTTGGCCTTATTGTCATGCGCTCAAAAGTCCGATTGGGCTTATTATCAGGGGAATGTCTTATTTTGGGGGAAACAGGGTAGTACACTAGCCTTATGCCTTAACTTGGAGATTTTAATTTTAAAATAACAATAGAACAAACTCTGATCAAGAGGGGAACATAAATAACTTTACATTGTACTCAGAACTCTGTGGATTACCACAGAAGTAGTTGCTTAGAAGTTTGGTTAACAGCAACAGTCTAGTACTAGCGTGGAAAGTCGACAATTAAGGCCTGTGATGGAACTTCTTTATCACCAAAGGTATTCTATCTTTGCCCAGCAAATGCAGCAAAAAAAAAAAAAAAAAAAAACCCAAACAATTCCAACTTCAGTCCTGATGAGTTGTACAAGTAGTCCTCGACTTAAAACAGTTCATTTAGTAACAGTTCAAAGTTACAACGGCACTGAAAAAAGGGACTTATGACCTTTTTTCACATTTATAACCATCGCAGCATCCCCATGGTCACATGATTTACATTCAGATGCTTGATAACTGGTTCATATTTATGACGGTTGCATGTGATCATCTTTTGTGACCTTCTGACAAGCAGAGTCAAAGAAGAAGCCAGATTCACTACACAACACAGCATTATTAATTGTGATTCACATAACAAATGTGGCAAGAAAAGTCGTAAAATGGGGCAAAATTCATTTAACAAATTTCTCACTTAGCAACATATACAGTATTTTGGACTCAGTTGTGGTCATTAAGTCGAAGACTACCTATACTGAATTTTGAAAAACATTCAAATTCCAAAATTGGTCTTCAGCCCTGGCAATTTCAGGAGTCATGTGAAGTCCTTTTCCCCCATTTCCAAACGATCCCTTCTGAGACAATTAAGCAGCCCCATCACCATTTTATTGATTTATTGATTTAATTTATGTGCCATCCCTCTCACTGTTGAAGTGACTCTGGGCAGCTTACCAAATAATAAACAGGATAAATATCAAAACAAATTAGTAAGAATTAAAAGCAGACTAAAAACCAATGATAAACAATACAAGGGTGCAGTCTTCTTTTACCCCTTCAACCACCTCCAGTATAGCCATAACCATCAGAGCCACATTTTAAGGACCTTCCGGAAGGCCAAGAGGATAGAGTATCACCATATACCTTTATTTATTTTTGTAGGGTCAGGCAGTAATCACCCCACTTGTTTCAGCAAACCATTCCAAACTGAAGGAGCCAGGTTTCCTTACTTACATAATCTCCACTTTCTCCTTTGGGCCCTGCACCTGTCCAGTCACAGTCCCACTGGCTGTATTCTTCACCCAGCCAACCAGTCCTAGTTTCCTCCCTTGCTCTTCGGTGTACTAACAGGAGGAGAAAACAAACAGAGATCATCATCAGGAAATTTCCCAAGATATTCTGAAGTTATGTACAGGTGGTCCCAGGGGTGAAATCCAGCAGGTTCTGACAGGTTCTGGAGAACCGGTAGTGGAAATTTTGAATAGTTCGGAGAACTGGCAAATATCACCTCTGGCTGGCCCCAGAGTGGGTGGGAATGGAGATTTTGCAATATCCTTCCCCCAGGAGTGGGGAGAGAAGGGGGATTTTGCAGTATCCTTCCCCTGCCACGCCCACCAAGCCACACCCACCTAGCCACGCCCACAGAACCAGTAGTAAAAAAAATTTGGATTTCACCACTGGGTGGTCCTCAACTTACAACAGTTCGTTTAGTGACTGTTCAAAGTTACAACAGCAGTGAAAAAGTGACTTACGATCGACTCATATTTATGACAGTTGCAGTATCCCAGGGTCATGTGATCACTTTTTGTGACCTTCTGACAAAGGTCAACAGGGAAGCTGGGTTCACTTAACATCTGTGTTACTAATTTAACAACTGCATTGGCAACAGAAAGTTTGGGCTCAATTGTGGTCATAAGTCAAGGACTACCTATATGCATTGCTTGGTATTTCTCCATTTGATGACTGCAGGTAAGTATGGAAACTGCCTTTATTGAGAAATGCTGGTTTTCAAGGTTATATCAAAGCTCCATCAGTTATGTCTGATCAGAGATGACTATTTCAGACAGGCAATGCTTTCGGGTGTTAAGGGAATGAAAGAACTGGAGAAAGGCAGCTTAGCAACAATAGCCCAATTTTCATCCCAGAGCTTTGCTATATTTTCCCAAGGATTGCCTACATTTTCTGAGATACAGAATTCAAATTGGCTTGCTTGGATTTGAGCAGGAAACCTGTACTTGAGGCTTTCGAGACCATGACAAAACCAGCTGCAATAACAATTTCTTTAAATTTAAATTTTCCAGCAGATATTTTAAAGATGCAGATAAGCACCCAACTGATGCCAAGACGTATGTAAATGTCTCAGACTTTCGCTGAGATTATTCAGTGTTATCTGCATATGGGCTTGCTGTTTATATGTTCAGCCTGTCTTGTTCCTTTCATCCTGATCTTGCTTCCAAATCCCCAACCTCTGTTGATAGCTGATATGAGCAGCTTCTCTGCTGTTGCTCCCATGATTCCAACCCTGCTCTAATATCCAGGAGTGTAGGCTCAAGGATTATACTTGAACAACAATGGTTTTCTTTATATGGTGCATGGTATGGTATTTGCAACTCTTAGAAAACGCAGTACTGTAGTTAAAACAGAAACACACCTTCCCTCATTTTGCCATGATATACATCTATATCTATACATCTAAAACTCTCTTCTTTGTCTGTATGTAACCTTTAACTGGGCAAAACAGTATATCATAGGAGCCCAATTTTTGAACCAAGGTACCTCAAATGGGCTAATTTACAGAATGCATCCAAAATCTGGCACCCATAATACCCATGAAGTACAAATTTGGCAAATTTTATAAAACATTTTATGACATAAGAGTACCATAAAGCATTTTATGACATAATACAAAATGTCATAAAGCATGTCTTGTGATCAACTCGTCATGTTTGACTCTACTATACAGTTCAACATGGACTATTTTTAGGGCAGATATCTCTCTCAATATCTCCCTGAATTTTTAAGTCCGGTACATTAGAAGCTCTGCTATTTTTGAAGGCAATATCTCTGAAGTGATGACCCAATGGGTCATGAGTTATCTAGTAATATATTAGAAAAGATACAACTTACCTTTCTAAAGAAGACACCTAGAAAAGAGAAGAGATACAGTAGATATCATTATAGCTACACATTAGTAAACAAATATCTACTGTACTCCTAAAGCAAGTGTCATAAGTGAACTGTTGGGCTCTTCCAGTAAGGATTATAAACTGGAGTGTCCCACAACAGAAAATTAAAGCACCAATAAAACCATTCACAAGATAGCCCAATGGTTGGTAATTAAAATATTTAAAGCAAAGATTCCAATCTTTCTGTTTTGCTGGGCTTTCTGAATATCTCCCTAAATTTTTAAGAACTTTTAATATTCTTAAAAATAAGTCCATCATTTAAGATGCTCCATTTTTTAATAGAAATCTTTTCCAATCTATTGCTGCCCAGATGGCCCGCCACAACCCTTCACGAGTATGGGATCAGTGGAGGTTATCGCACATCTTGAGGATACCAAGATGCAGACTGTCTTAAGACATCACCATCTTAAGATAACATAGGCACAACTGATCCAACTGAATTACAGCTTTCTTTGAATCATTTCTTGAAACCATGACTGTGCTTATGTGAATAAACCTTTCTTTTTTTTTACTGCATCAAAGGTTCGTGTATGGCAGAAGAAAGAAATTCTTGCTTTCCAATCTTGCAGGATCCAGCACTGTGGAGTTTACAAACTCATTTACAATCCTGGTTTGTTTAGATATAATAAACCCTAATCCAGATTAAACATTTTACTAAACCACCCCTACCTGATTTGTTTGCCTGCTCATAGGTAAAGAGGTAAAGCAGGCTGTGTGTTGGCTCTCTTTTAATATTGTGGATAAATAACCCAGAACTCAGCTCAACATAACTGTGGTCTTCAGCCCACCAAAAGATCTTGCTTTCTAATTTCTTTTCTACAAACAGCCCACAGAACTTTTTGTCTCCTGTGAAATTCCTTTACCTTTTCCCCTTCATTGCCATTATAGAAACTATATTCTTGATAAATTTTCTATTACAGACAATTAGAACAATAAAAATTGAATAAATAAAATGTTGAATTTTTACAATAACAATTGAACATTCTGTAGCATTACCACGAGCCAACGAATAGCCAAGAATTGCAGATAAGAGCTTTTACTGGCCTATTATGTTACTTATTTGTTTATATTTTTACTAATTTATATTCTGCCTCAATCGTGAAGTGACTCTGGATATAGAACTGGGAAACAATCCCTTATCTGAACTTTAAAAGGCAAGTAGAAATCCCTCAAAAGCAAACATCACAGATTCTAATTCCTAAGAACAGCCCTCTCCCCCACCCCCCAAGAAAGAACCCACAATACAGCATAAATCTCAGAAGAGTTCTGCCCTCTTTTGATTCCTCATTTCTGGAGAATGGCAGCTGAAGCTATATGACTTCTTGAATGTCGCACATCATGTTATTTTTAAAATAGATATGTGGGGCTGCGTATGTTCAATTTAAAAGAGGGTTGAATCAAAGATGCTCAGCCTCCCTCCCTGAAATGGCCCAGATCTCAGTACTGCAGAGAAACAGCTTCTCATTCTCTGCACTATGATACGTAGATTCATCACTAAATTAAGTTAATGCTCCCAATTAACTTCTTTACACATTCCCCTTGTGTACCGGCTTAAATTAAGTTCCTTTTAGAGTCTTTGCAGATAGCTTTTCAAGCAATCCCAGGCTATCTTACTGCAATTAGAACTGAAGCAAGATTCTGCAGTTGGAGAAGCAGACTGCAGGCATCCTATTTCAAGGACTGTACTATTTGCAGAGCAATCCGCTGGAAAGCCAAGCAACCGTATCGGTATACAAAAATCCCGTAGCAAGAATAATACCAAAGGGAGGAAATAAAATCTAGACTCACCTTGGACTTCCCCATAAATCTCATAGTCGATTGCCCAGAGCTCGGAAGAAGCCATTGTCCGGTCCAAGTCACGGGGAGCTGACAGCAGCTTCCAAAGAGACTGAGAGGGGGTTATGTATGTGTGCTATCTGATCTGCTTTACACTGCAGTTTGACCAGACTGTGTTACTAAATTCAGCAGTAGGATGGAAAGCAATGTGTGGCCCACCTGGAACAAGGAAGAAATGTGTTTTTGTTATTCAGCCATAGTTAACTGTGTGCTAAATCATCTACTTTGTATGCAGAAAGACATTTCCAATATCTCCAAACAGAGCTGGGGAGCCTCCTGGCAGAAACCCTGGAGGATGATTATCAGTCTGTATCAATGCTAGTCTAGATGGATCAAGGCAAGGCAATTTCCTCTTTCTAAACCCATCCTCATAATAGCTGTATAGGAAAGAACTTTTGTAGGGAGAGAGCAAAAAGCTGATTCAGATTCATAACTGTAAGGAAACTTGCTCTCATCTTACATTTTAGCAACTGATTGCTAGATCTATGGGCTGGAAAAGGGCACCTCCATGTCTAATATTTTATACAAGATCTAGGAATGAGATTTTTAATTTCTTTTTTTTACTAATGCCAGCAAGGCTTTTTCTTCGACTCTTCCTCTCCATCTTCCTATTTTCTGTAAGCATAAGAATTTATAAGAGGGAGAATGATAAATAGTTGCAAGCATTCTTTTAGTTACATGGTATACAGCCCAGGGTACATTCAACAAAAACAAAATGTGCACGCATTTGTTAAAGAACTGTGCCAGTCTCAGCCCCCATGAACATGCGTGGGCCTCGCACTGAGAACTGCCAACTCAAAATGTCAGATTAAAGAGAGATTCAGGATCTGTTCCTGAGAGTTTGAAATAAGATGCATTTCCTCCTATTCCGTGTGTTGATGTTAGATCAATGGGTTGTCTCTTTTTCCCCTGTTCAGGCATTTTAGGTCATGTTTTAATAATTCTATTGCTCTGAAACTGCAGGTACATTTCTGATGAGCTTTATACCATGCAGGTCTGTTGACCTAAAATTTTAAGAAATCTTATGGCCAGAGGTCAATTATACCGGTATCAGTAATATCTTTAAATGGGTACATTAGAGTCACTATTTGAGATGAATAGTGATACAAATGCAATTAAATAAATAAATATGGCACAATTTTTAAATTCATCATAGCTTTTTTTGGATGGTAAGGAGAATTTTAAAAAAGTAAAAATAAATCACCATAAGGTTGGACTGGTAATGCAAAACAGCAGAACCTAACTGTTTGGAAGTGGGGATCACATGACCCCAGGATATGGCAACTGTTGTAAGCACCCAAATTGTTCATGAATCTGTGGGGATGCTGTGGCAGTCATAAGTGCGAGGACCTGTACTAAGTAAATTTTTTTCAGTGCTGTTGTAACTTAGAATGGTCGCTAAACATAAGATGAGGACAACCTATAGAACAGACAAGTTTCAAAAGGCCTATTTAGATGCATTTTAATTTCTAGTGAATTAAAATAAATATACCAGTAAATTATAAGGCTATTAGTGTGAAAAGTATTTTTTTCTTAAAGGAACTTATTAGTCTAGTTCATGTGTGTCAAAACTCGCAGCCATCTTGTGATGTTTCACGATGATTTTTCCTTTGCGTAGCTGGGGTGGTCATGGCCTGCATGTGATGCATCCGGCCTGCGGGCTGCCAATTTGACATCCCTGATCTATTTGCTAGTTTGGTAATGGAAGTAATTGTTCTGGTTTCCATTCTCACTTTTTGTATGCTTTACTAGTGTATTGGTTTCTTTCTTAAAGCATAATGCTAAATTAACAGCATCAGAATGAGCAAAATAAATCTTTGCATCATTTGGTCCTCACATGTATGACCATTGCAGCATCCCCATGGTCACATGATCAACATCCAGGCACCTGGCAACTGCCAGGTGTTTACCACAATTGCAGCATTCTGGAGTCATGTCATCCACCCTTTGTGACTTTCCCGGACAGCTTCTGAGAAGCAAAACCTATAGAGGAAGCTAGATTTTGCTTAACAAGCGTTGATTCACTTAATAACTGCAATGATTCACTTAGCAACCATGACATGAAAGGTTGTACATTTGAGCATGACTCACTTAAGAACCACCTTGCTTAGAAATGGAAATTCTGGTCCCAACTGTCGTTGTAAGTCGAGTCTACCTGTATTTATATAACATGAGAGTGAAAGAGAATGGCAGTTAAGAAATATGAAATATAAACAAATACACACACATGCAATCCCCAGTAGATAATGTTAACAACCACAGTGATTTGCTTAATTTGGGGTGCAATGGAAAGAGTTGCTTGCCCCCTATAAAGCCGTCCATGGCCCAGGGCCTGGTAATTTGAGGGTTATGGTCTGTGTCCTGTGGCATTTGCCCATCTTGTGCCATCAGAGTTGGCACATATCAGGACCTCTCAATCAAGCAATGCTACCTGACTGGAGGCAGGAATGGGCCTTCTCAGTCATGGCCTCTGTCCTCGGGTGCCCTTTCCTCCCCAAGATGGAAATGATCCCCCTTCTACACCCCTCTAAAGATCCCCAGGTTCTGATGGGGCTGTGGGCTTCCCCAAGGAGGGATTTTGCCCTGTGGTAAGATAGGCAGCCAATAATAACTGCACTGGTGTGCTGACAACCAGTGTCAAATTCTTTGTGTCTAATCACATTTGGCCAATAAAGCTATTCTATTCTATTCTATTCTTCTGTTCTGTTCTGTTCTCTCTATATTCTATTCTGTTGTTCTATTATTCATTTTACTCTATATTCTATTCTATATTTTACTCTATATTCTATTCTTCTATTCTATTCTACTCTATATTCCATTCTATATTTTACTCTATATTCTATATTCTATTCCTATATTCTATTCTATATTGTATTCTCTATTCCTTATTCTATTGCTTTTCTATTCTATTGTTCTAGTTTTCTATTATTTTTTTACTTTACATTCTATTCTTAATTCTACTCTATATTCCATTCTATATTTTACTCTTATATTTTATTCCTATATTGTATTCTATATTCCTTATTCTATTCTATTGTTCTTTTCTATTACTCTTTTTTTTACTCTATATTCTATTCTATACTTTACTCTATATTCTACTCTTCTCTCCTACTCTATATTCCATCCTATTCTATATTTTACTCTATATTCTATTCTATTCCTACATTGTTTATATTCTATTCTATTTTTTCTAATTCTAATTCTATTCATAAATGTTATGCCTCCTCCCTCAGAATACCTGCCTGGTGAGGTCTATGTCGAGGGTTTGTCTAAGCTAATTTTCCCTCAGCCTGAGCCTTTCCAGAAACGGGGCAGCTTCAGAGAAGCCCATAACAAATAATAATGATAATAAAAAGTAAGGAATACAGTGGGATGAAAAAGAGGGGCCTGGCTGTCACCATTCCCGGTAACTCCATTATTATTATGATGATTATTATTATTATTGCTGTTATTTTACCCTTGAGGAATGGCGTGGAAGAGGGGGGGGGAAGGAAGGGGGAGAAAAAAATGGAGGAACTGGAAGACTCCGACTGAGGGAAACGATGCGAGATTTGGCGGGAAGACGGGAGCGCGCGCGCGCCCACCCCTAGGGGCAGGCGGGGCGCGCTAAGAGAGGACGGGAGGCGAAGGGGAGGGGGGGTGCGGGGGCGCGCGCACGCACCCCGAGGCGGAGCTGGGCGGGAAAAAGGAACGCGAGCCATGAAGGGGAAAGCAGCGTCGGGCGTGCGGATGGTGCGCGCGCGCCTGTGAGGGTGGCGGGGGCGCGCGGGGGCGCGCACACCCAGATATTAGTGACACATATATATGCCTGTTTTTAGACACACTGACACACACATATACACACACAAAAACACACATATACCTATACCACATATGGATTTTTATATATAAAATTTTTATATATAAAAATTACACATAAGGTGCCCTTTCTGACTCACATATATGCACCCACCTACATGCACCCGAGTGTGTGTGTGTATAATTGTATATAACATATGTGTGTGTGTGTGTGCGTGTTATGTCTATGGTTATCTATTTTTCTTTTTGAGAGCAGGCCTCAGAATTTAGTTTTTTAATGTGTGCCACTGGGTTCACGGAAAAAACGTGACAAAGTTATCTTGTACACACACACACATACACACACACACACACACACACATATATATATGTAGGTCTTTGGTTATTCGGGTTTTCTTTACGCGGGAGAAAACCCGAATAACCAAAGACCTACATACAAACACCCACGAAAACCTCAGAAAACATATATATATATATATATATAATACATACATACATACACACACATACATATTACACACACACACAGATACGTGTTTATCATGTACCACACATATAATATGCATGTAACAGTAGTGGGTTTCAAAATCGTCGCTACCGGTTCGCTCGTGGGTGTATGCGCATGTGGAGAAGCAGGGGTGGGTTCTACTTACCTTTACTACTAGTTCGCAATGGGGCCGCACGCGTGCGCTTGCTTCACTCGCGTGCACGCCAGTGATGGGTTGCCCCCGGTTCGCACCAGTTCTATTGAACTGGTAGTAAAACTGGCGGGAGGCTCCGCTCACCAACTCCAACGCCACCAGAAGAGCGCGCAAGCAAAGCAAGCGCACGCACGGCCCCATTGCAAACCAGTAGTAAAGGTAAGTAGAACCCACCCTGGGCGCACGCGTGCTCTTTTGCACATGCACAGAAGCTTCTGCACATGCGCAGAAGCATTTTGATGATGTCGGGGTCGGTGGGCGGAGCCTCCCGCCGGTTTTACTACCGGTTCTATAGAACCAGTGCGAACCAGGGGCAACCCATCACTGCGCAGAAGCATCCGGGCGGGTGGGCGGAGCCAATCTGGGGCGAAGCAGTAGTAACCCACCACTGATGTAATATATACATACTTGTAATATATTCAAGACTTTTTTCTGCTAGGTATTTAAAATGGACTGTGATTCATATACATATGTAACAGGGGTGGATTCTACTTACTTTTACTACCGGTTTGCAACATGGCCGTGCGCACGCGCTTGCTTCACTCGTGCACACACACACTCTTCTATGCATGCGCAGAAGCATCCTGATGATGTCGGAGTTGGTGGGCGGAGCCTCCCAACGGTTTTACTACTGGTTCTATAGAACCAGTCCGAACCGGGGGCAACCCACCACTGATATGTAATATATGTATATATGTGTGTATATATGTATATGTATATGTATATAGCATATATATGTGTGCATGCATGTTATGTCTATGGTTATTTATTTTTCTTTTGAGAGCAGGCATCAGAATTTCATTTTTTATTGTGTGCCAGTGGGTTCATGGAAAAAAGTGACAATATAGGTCATCTTACCTTTATACATACTTATATATATATCACACTCATGTATAGGTACAAATATATATATTCACACACATGCCAACATACAATAACACCTTTAAACATGTACACACACGTACACACATCCATGATACTCATGCACATACTTGTAGACTAGTTAACAAACCTCAGAATGAACATCACACTTTGCCTTTTGCCCCCCTTAGCTTTGGAAACTTGGCTTGTTTTAAGCAAGAGTTTGTGCTATGTTTGAAATTGAACTTTTTGTTTGAATTTTAGCCCACTAACCTAAATATTGAGCCAGGTACCTCTGTGGTAGCATTTGAAGTAGGTCAATGCTTCCCCTAACAAAAATTTATCAAAAAATAAATTACCTTGGCAGGTATTCTATAAATAATCCAAATGGATCACAATCTAATATCACTCCTATGGATTTAAAACTCACGGTGGCAAATATGTGGTCCAGTTTGGTGCTGGATCCAGTATAGATTTCTACAAAAGAATAATTGGCCACCAGTGTAATTTCACAAGTACATATTACCTGGGTTCAGCAAGGATAATGAGGATAAAGATAGAAATGCGACAAAATTAATAATAATAAATAAATAAATGCATAATTTTGTGGTTCAGAATGTTGTGGAAACACACACTATTTGTACGCCATTATGTTAAGTAAAAATATAATTTATCTCTTGGACCACAGAACTGTTAATTAACAATTCTATTTTATTTTATTTTTCTTCTTATTTGCCCGGCTTAGTTACAAAGTCTGCTTGTTCTGCATTCCTTAGTTTTTATAGCAAAGTTTATATTGATGTACGATGTGATAAGATTTATTTTGCAGCTGGTTTGTTAACAGTCCTCAACTTCTGACTATTTGCTCAGTGATTATTCTAGATTACGAGAGCGCTGAGAAAAAGGATTTAAGACCGGTTCTCGAATTTACGACTATCACATCGTACCCACAGTCATTTAATTGTGATTTGGGCACTTGGCAACTGGTATGTATTTACAATCGTTGCAACCTTCCCAGACAGTTTCCAACAAGCAAAGTCAACAGGGGAGAAGCTGGATTCACTTAATATTAATGGAGATTCTCAGTCATCCAGGTTGTGGTTGTCCCAAAGGTGATTTTTCGAGAGGCAACTGGACTTTCTTGTTTTTCTTTGAAGACGTTTCGCTTCTCATCCAAGAAGCTTCCTCAGATCTGACTGAATGGTGGGGAATGGATTTATATTCCTTGCAGACAACTGGTCATTTGCATCCTTTTTTAAAGACTCATTGAGGCCACTTGGACATTTATCTATGCCCTCGTGGTCACCTGAATAGTTTCAGCAGTTCCAAGAAGACTCAACACCCATTTGCACTACTCAGGTGATCCTGGGGCAGTGGTGAAATGTAAAATTTGTTACTACCCGTTCTGTGGGCATGGCTTGGGGGGGGGGTTAACCTCTTCGGCCGAAGAAGGTGTAAAAAATGCTTTTAAAAGCCTCTGATGATCAGGCAACTCAGCTGGGATTGTCAGAGGCTTTTAAAAGCATTTTTTCTACATCCTCTTCAGCTGAAGAGGTTGTAGAATAAATGCTTTTAAAAGCCTCTGACGATCCAAGCTGATCTGCGCGATCATCAGAGGCTTTTTTTTTTTACTTTTAAAAGCATTTTTTCAGCCGAAGAGGTTGTAGAAAAAATGCTTTTAAAAGTAAAAAAAAAAAAAAAGCCTCTGATGATCGCGAGGCTCAGCTGGGCATGGGGGGGCAGGGGCGCAGGGATTTTTGCTACCGGTTCTCCGAACCACCCGCCATCGCTACCAGATTGAGCGATCCGGTCCGAACCGGGAGCATTTCACCCCTGCCCTGGGGACACAGACAAACTCCCAAGTGGACAAGGACAAACCTCCAATTGTCTGCAAGGAATTCCATTCCCAACTATCCAATCGGATCTGAAGAAGCTTCTTGTTTGAGAAGCGAAACATCTTCAAAGAATAAGAAGGCATTCCAGTTGCCTCTTGGATTCACTTAACCACAGCGGCAGAAAAAGGTGGTTAAATCGGATATGGCCACATGATAAGTCATGTAACAACCTTATCCTCTAGCAATGGACATTCCTGTCCCAATTGTGGTCATAAGTGAAGGACTAGTTCTAATTAGTAATATAAATTAGTGTGTATATAATTTGTTCCCGCCTTTATTGTTTTTACAAATAACTCAAGGTGGAGAACATATCCAATAAACTTTACCCCCCCCAACAACAACCCTGTAAGGTGGCTACGACTGAGAGAGAAGGTGATTGTCCAAAACCACCCAACCGGCTTTCATAGCTATGGTGGGACTTGAACTCATTGTCTCCTGCTTTCTAGCCTGATACCTTATTAGACCAAACTAGCTGATTATAGCCCTTGTGTTTTCAATTCATTCTGGAGTGGTTGGTTCAGTATTTATTTATTTATTTATTTTATTAGGTTTATATGCCACCCAATCTCCAACGGACTCAGGGCGGCTCACAACAATAAAACCACAATCCAATGCAAGTTAAAATGCCTAATTAAACAAATACAGTTAAAACCTGTAAAAACCCCATCAGTCCAGGCCGGGGAACTCGAATAGCCAAGTTTTTAATTCGCGGAGTATGATGGGCCAGTAATAATAATAACAATATGAAGCAGTCCCAGTGGTCATCAGCTTCAGTAACCAATTTTGACATACTGAAAGTATTTTTTTACTACAAATGGATTCTTCTCTTCCTTTAAAAAGCCATCACCTTGTCTAACCAGATGGCCAGCATAAGCACGTTAAGAAAAACATTACTTCTCTTGATTAAACATTACTTCTCTTGATTAATTATATGATCAAAGGCAAACAGAAGATAATAGCTCCTGAGTTGCAGACTATTTCTCCTGTTCAGACATTAGGAAACCAGATATGCAATTTGCAAGCTGTAACTGGCTATCCTTCTTTGGTCATGTCAGGCAATCTGGAACTAAAGTGTTTATTTTTGTGTGTGCATCCAAACCAGTTCCACGTCTTTCAAAACATCTGGATAATGTAAAGATAGAGTTCTTGGTGCCATACATCTTATTTTAATAGTGAAATAGCCTATCCCACATCTTGACCTCTTTATAAATCTTAGAAGTTACGAAAATAGAAACAGTCTGGGAATGCCTTTGCAGAATGTCACAAGACTGATTCCTCCCTCCTAAGGAAGAAAGAAACCTGGATTTAAAAAAAAAAATAAGACAAGGAAGAAGCTTTGTAGCTAGCAGGAAAGACTGAGATCCTTGTTCACTTTTGCGAAAAATAAACTAACATAAATTCTAAAGGAACCAAGAATCACAGCCATACAAATACAGTACTAGAATTAGTAGGTCAATGTCCTAACTTAGTTTAAAAAGGCTCCACAGATAAAGTAGAGGTAAATTGATATGAGATATTGATTCCTTTAAACATAACAAAGATTGGAGACCAAAATCTCTTCATACTCTGGAGCTACACCTCTCATCAATCTATTATGAATAATAATAGTCAGGAATAATAAGAGGTATTGAGAACATGGATTCCAGACCAGCTGTACAGCTGTATCTTTCTTAATTTTAACAATTAAAATTAAGAAAGATAATTCCTGAGTCTCCGGAAAAGGGCGGCATATAAATCGAATCAATAAATTACCATATACATTAGTGTACAAGTAGTCCTCGACCACAACTGAGCCCAAAATTTATGTTGCTAAGCAAGATATTTGTTAAGTGAGTTTTGGCCCATTTTACGACCTTCCTTGTCACAAATGTTAAGTTGTTAAGTTAATTACACGGTTCTTAAAATGAATGTGGTTTACCCATTGACTTTGCTTGTCAGAAGGTCACAAAAAGGTGATTGCATGATCCTGGAACACTTCAACCGTCATAAATGTGAGTCAGCTGCCAAGTGTTTGAATTTTGATCACATGATCATGGGGATGCGTCAACAGCTGTAGGTGTGAAAAAAACTGGTCATGTCAATTTTTTCAGCGATGTTGTAACCGTCAGTAAATGAACTGTTGGTGATGATATGATCCTGGAATGCTGTAACCATCATAAATCCATGCTGGGCTAAAATTTTGATTATGTGAATGGAGCGACCCTGTGATAGTCATAAGTATGAGGATAGTCATAAGTCACTTTTATCAATGCCATCGTAACTTTGAACAGTCGCTAAATGAATAGTTGTAAGTCGAGGAATAACTCTATGAAGAAAAAAGTGACAAAGTATCCCTGATTGAACTTCTCCAAGACATATCTAGTTCGTTTACATTTTTCTTTCTTTCTTTCTTTCTTTCTTTCTTTCTTTCTTTCTTTCTTTCTTTTATTCATTCATTCATTCCATTTTCCAATGAAATGAATTTAAGGGTGCATCCATAGCGTCTTTTCATTCCTTTTCTTTCATTCCTGCTAAAAAGAAATCAAAACATGGAATAACAATACATTTAGGCATTATGATAATTTCCTACCTGAAGCAACATTTTTGTGAAGCAGAAAATAGCGTTGCTAGGATTGCAAGGAGAGATTTTGACTCACATTTTACATCCTGCGTGCTTTGCTATTGTGTTTTTCTCAAGCATTCTTTATTTCCTGTTATTTATGAAACATTTATTCCATAGGGTACGCTTCCCTGGTTTTCCACTTTCCATTTTACAACATAAGATTAAGAGCACCTTATAATTAAATGGTTTTAAGGAAGCCAACCAACCTAATAAACCTCCCTCAGTAATAATTCTGTAAGAATAAGGAGCTGGATGGAGACAGACCAGGGGTGAAATCCAAAATTTTTCCCTACTGGTTCTGTGGGTGTGGCTTGATGGGCGTGGCAGGGGAAGGATATTGCAAAATCTCCATTCCCTCCCCTCCTGGGGGAAGGATATTGCAAAATCTCCATTCCCACCCCACTCTGGAGCCAGCCAGAGGTGGTATTTGCCGGTTCTCCGAACTACTCAAAATTTCCGCTACCAGTTCTCCAGAACCTGTTAGAACCTGCTGGATTTCACCCCCGACACAGACTGAATTTAAAAAATAACTAAACAATAACAATGTTTTTTCTCATCTTTTAGAAGAAAGTCATACTTGGGGGAAATTAGTTAGAAATTCGCTCGTTGGCTGGTATACAACCCAAAATGGAATCACGATGGTAAAAGGAGAAAAAGTGGTTCAAGAAATCCAAAATTGTAGAGTTGATTTAAGATTGGAACATTGAAAAATGCTACGGGAAGGGTCAGCAAACACCAGCAAAATTGATGCCTTCGTTTATTGTTCAATTTGTAGCATCACTGGTCCGCTTTATACCACCAGGCCTCCCATTTCAAAGAGAGTTATCGTTTCAGTTTTGAGGTTCAAATGAAGACATAAGGAACACTTTTATTTCTCAAGACAGACTATACAAATTTTGTCTGCTAATTTACCAAGTCTTTTCTTTCAGATTTTAGAATTTCTAATCATACAACTTCAGGGTGAAAAGGGGGAACAGTCAGAAAGATCTTCCGTGCTGGAAGGAACAATGGTTGTTTCTTTGGACATTCAAGATTCTCCCCAGCGTGTGGACCTGTCGCACTGTGCTGCAATTAGTGAGTATAATTCAGACTTATATTTCTTTCAGGGCAGTTATTTTTTCAGGAAAATAGAAACTAGGCAAAGCAACCAAGGATGACCCTCCTCCCTTCAGGTGGCATTTTAAATCTACAGGTAGTCCTCAACTTACCATCATTCGTTTAGTTACAACAGCACTGATCAAAGTTGTCTTGTGACCTTTTTTCACACTTAACGACCGTTGCAGAATCCCCATGATCAGAATTCAGGCATTTGGCAACTGGCATGTATGTATGACGGTTGCACTGTCCCTACATCATATGATCACCATTTTCAACCATCCCAGCCAGCTTCTAACAAACAAAGTCAATGGGGAGGGGCGGAACCTAGATTTGCTTAACAACAGCGAGATTTATTTAAGAACTGTAATGATTCACTTAACAACCATGGCAAAAAAAGGTTATAACATGAGACACAACTCACTTTACAAACCCCTCACTTAACAGTGCAAATTTGGGGTTCAGTTGTGATCATAGGTCTGGTTCTACCTGCATTCATATCAGAGGTGGGTTTCAGCAGGTTCTGACCAGTTCTGGAAAACCGGTAGTGGAAATTTTGAGTAGTTTGGAGAACTGGTAGTAAAAATTCTGACTGGCCCCGCCCCCATCTATTCTCTGCCCCCCGAGTCCCAGCTGATCGGGAGGAAACGGGGATTTTGCAGTAACTTTCCCCTGGAGTGGGGTATGAAGATTTTACAGTATCCTTCCCCTGCCACACCCACCAAGCCACACCCACAGAATCAGTAGTAAAAAATTTTGAAACCCACCACTGATTCATATAACATGCAATCCCCAATAAGTATACTTAAGGTGTAAGTTTATGTTCCTACAATGGGTTGAGCACAAATAATAGAGCTCAAATTTAGCCTTGCCACAAACTTAAACAAAATTAATAACAGCAGTTCTTTTATTTGTTCCATGCAGTTGCTGCAAAAGGTGATTTATGCCACAAACTCCCCAGTGATCTAACATTCAAAGGTAAATATTTAACCTTATTTGAGATTTAAAAAGTGGTTTTTAAGCTAATCCAGCCCAACATTCAGTTCTCACCGCCACTGGTACATTTTCACCAGGTTCCCCAGAACAAAACAAATCTTTTTATAACTTTAATAGATATGTGAATTCACCCAACTTCTGAATATTTCCTGAGTCATCCTGAAGAGATTCTGTTGCATCTGAGTTGTTTCTTCATAATGAGGACCCTCAAAAATTGGAATAAGAGCTCTAATGTATTAAAGAAATTGATAATCTTTTAAAACAAGAAGATTGAAATCTAATTAATTTTCGTTTTACTTTCTTTTTTACTTACATACGTCTTGAAAAGAGATGCAATGCAATAACAATAGCAATAGCACTTGGACTTACATACCGCTTTACAATGCTCTCTAAGCAGTTTACAGAGTCAGCATATTGCCTCCAACAATTTTGGGTCCTCATTTCACCCACCTCGGAAGGATGGAAGGCTGAGTCAACCTTGAGTCCGGTGAGATTTGAACTGCCAAATTGCAGTCAGCTGGCAGTCAGCAGAAGGAGCCTGCAGGATTCCATTCTAACCACTGTGCTACCGCAGTTCATAGAATAGAATAGAATAGAATAGAATAGAATAGAATAGAATAGAATAGAATAGAATAGAATAGAATAGAATAGAATAGAATGCAATGCAATGCAATGCAATGCAATGCAATGCAATGCAATGCAA